CGATACGGCGCAGCTGAGAATGTTAATGGCACTTTGATGGGAACTGCTTCTGCAGCAGTGAAGCCAACCAACGCCACAACAGATCCCTTGCATCTCCAATCGGTCTCAATCGGAATACGGGCAGAAATCGGGATTCTTTGTGTGTGCAGCTTGGACAGGATATGAAATAGATCGGTGTTTCAGCAGTTGTTGTTCAACCCAACCTGAGGAACGTGCATCCGTTGTCTCCCGCCACCCTCAACATCTCTCTCTCTCCCTTCCTCTCTCTCTCTCTCTCTCCCTTCCTGTCTCTCTCTCTCTCCCCCCCTTCCTGTCTCTCTCTTCTCTCTCCCTTCCTGTCTCTCTGTCTCTCTCTGTTACCCGTCGTTGGAATGTGAGTCCAGGAGAAGGCTAAGGCACGAGACTGCGCCAAGAAGGCGGAGAAGTGGTTGTTCCAGAAGCTCGACCAGCAAGCAAACGTCCCTCAGTCTAAGAACCCGGTACGTGGAACGATGTCAGCGGTCTTGTGATCGTTGTTGTTGTTGTTGTTGTTGTCGCTGACCAATGTGAACATCAGTGTTTGTTGTTGTTTATGTAGTCGTTGATGTTGTCGTCGTCATTATTGTTGTTGTTGTCGTAGTTGTCGTTGTTGATTGTTGTTGATTGTTGTCGTTGAACCAAGTTAGCGGTGTATGTTGTGTTGTTGGGCGTTCTTATCACGTTCGTTCGTTGTTGGTCGTGTTGGCTTTGAATCAGGGAACCATGCCCATCTCTTTCGGACGCCCTTCCTTCCGTTCCCCATTCCATTCCATCCCCATACTGCTGTTGGTTTTTTGTTTTCGTCCAATTTATTATGGCGACAGTCCCCCCATTTCTCGTGGTGAGACGTGTACTACTCTTTTACGGTGCAAATGAATATACGTCGTTTAGGGGGAAATTTTGTTGCCATGGCTGGCGTCAAAAACCGAAAAGGTACCAAGGAAATGTTTTATTGACCCCATGTTTCTGCGTTTCTGCAACTATTGTATTTTTTTTTCTACATGCGTCCGTGTTTTTTCTGTATCAACTGTAGTTTGTTGTCTACGTGCGTCTGTGTTTTTCGCTGTACATTATCAACAATTATCGACAGTTGCCTAAATGACGACAACCCCCCTCCCCCCGCGACAGATCGTCACGTGCGACGAGATCAACAAGCAAGTCGTTGCGGTGCACGCCACCTGCCGCTCCATCATGAACACCCCCAAGCCCGCGCCGAAGCCTGCGGAGCCCCCGGCAGCTGCCCCTACAAAGGAGGAGGCCAAGCCGGCGGGGGGCGAGGGGGATGCTGCGGCTGCCGCAGCAAGCGGGGAGAAGGGAGGAGAGAGTGCCGCGGTGAGTTTTTTTGTTTTTCAACTGTTGTAAAAGATTTGACATGTGGTGGGTGTTTGTTTTTGTTTAATGTTTTTTGTTTTTTGGGGGGGACAGGTAACGAAACAGATCATGTGCCAATCATCTTTACCAGGTACATAGGCAGATGCAAGTCCATGGTGTATTCGTAGCGTTTTCTGAGACTGCCTTTGTTTAGACTGATCTCTGAACAACATACAGCAGTGAGACGAGGCACACAACTCCTTTATCGAACAGAATCGAAGCGGTGAACATAATGGAAATGGTTGTATGTTGCATAGATCAGGTTTGGTTGTAGGCCATACTGCGGTCGATAACGTCGTCATGTGTCTCGTGCATGGCATTGCACTACGGGTGCCCCTGATGGCATGTGGTCATTCGTGCCTCCTTGTGAACCAAACAAGTTTGCTGATGAAACAAACCCGAGTCTGGCCACAGCCAAACCTAAACCTTTGCCACCCTCAACCATCACTTCCGCCGTTAAAGAACGACTGTTACTCTTGCCCCCCCTCCCGTTTTCTTTCTCTGTCCCTGATTTTGTTTGCGATTTTCCATGGGCTCCCTGACCCTCCTCCCCCTGTTGTGTTTGTTTTCACCCTAGTCTTGCTTTCTTTTGTCTTGATCGGTCGATTTTTCACATGTCGTGCAATGCGCTTGTGTTTTTTTTTCATGCCTCCACTTCTTCCTCTCGTCTTTGTCGATTGTACTCGTATCAGTAGCCTTCGCAAGCATTTTCTATTTTTAAGTAAACATGTTGGATAAAGCATGCAATCGGGGAAGTTGCGCTACGGTAAGGGTTAGCGTCTGCGTCCCCCCTCCATGCTCTATTTCCTCACAAACTACTTCCTCTTGCCTTTATGTCGATTGTACTCGTTTATACTGTGTGTGTGTGTTTTCGTGCAGGACGCATCCAGTGCGAAGGCGGAAGGGGAAGCGGCGGCGGCGGAGGGCGGCGGCGCTCCCAAGTCCGGCGACAGCATGGACGCCGATACCACACCACAGGAGGCAGCACCACCCGCAGATGGAGTGCCTCCCTCCAAGACTACCGCCGCTACAGCGGAGCCCGTGCCTACTCCCATGGAGACCGACGAGGTGGAACAATTGGAGTAAAACCAAGAAAAAAAAATTGGTGCCAAATTTGATTTCGAGGAGGACAAAATCGTCCATGTGTCATCGGTATGTGCCTTTTTTTTTTCTTGCTTGGGTGATGTGATTTTTGAAGGTAGGGAAGGAGAGCAAAAATTGTGCTTAAGTGTTTCGGCAAAAAAAATGCTCGAGGGATGGAAGCAAGCAAGCAGTGCTTTTGGCTGGATTGGCGGAGTGAGACTTGAGAAGGAGCATCTACGAGTGCAAATGTTTTTTCATGTCGTCTTTGCCTTTTATTTTCGCGTTTTTTCTGTTGAAACTCTCTAGCAATTTCTTCGTTTCAACGACTTTTGGGTTGCTCGGGTGGGGAGTGAGGTTTGCGATGCCCAGGGCCCCCGTCGTGTTTGCTCGTGTACGGAACCGTGCACGGAAAGTAAGAATGGGAATACAGCAGTACACTACATCGGCACCAAAAAAGCTACTGCGTCGACAGAACGAGGTGATGCTACGTGTTAGGCGTGGCTGGCTGGATGCTTTGGTCTTGACGCTCTTGTGTGTTGGTTGGTCCTTCTGGGAAGCTTTCTTGTGCCGCCTGTTTGCGTTGTTGGCCACCGCCTCCGCCGCCGCCTCGCTGCCGCTTGTCTCGTGGGCAAATTGACTCGCCCCCTTCGTTGTCCGTCCCGGGTCTGTAGGGATGATGCGAGGCCAACGGTCTAACGACTACGGCATGCACAACTGTCGAGTACTCAGTCCCGCCTTTCTGCCTGGTAGTACGCAACCCGACTTCCCGCGGCCTTGGCGGATTTGTTTTTTGTATCCCGGCGGGCGCACGAGGTGGAATTGCAATGGACGGAAAAAAGTGTTCCGAGGATACGTGCTCATCGACGAATGACCCATGGGGTGGGGGGGGTGGAAGGACTTACTAGCTGTCGGGTTAAGTCGACGCAGAGGGAATTTTGTGGGCATACTACTAGTGTTCTAAGTGTCAGGTAAAAAAATTGGGTGTATGCGTGGTAGCGTGGTATCATGTTTTGGTTCTTTGGGGGGTGCGGTGGGTCTCTTTGTCTTGGTCTCGCCCTCCAAACTCTTGCGGTTTTTCTTTTTCGTCCTTTTACAAGAAGCAGCAGCAGCACAGGTTCTTGCAAAGATAAGGTTGCAATACGCTTGTGTCATGCCGTAAATTGCTGGTGGGACGAATGTGAAAGGTGGGCGCGGAGGCAAGGCGCAAGGGATACAGGTTGTGAGCGTGCTTCGGGACGGTGACCGCGCCGTTTTTTTTCTCTCTTTTTTCTTAGCATGGGTGCGAGGCCTTGGTGGAATCGGTACTTCGCGTGGCAGGGCGCAGGCATGGAGCCAAAAAACGGAACAAGAAAAAAACGGTGGACACCTGCTTTTAGCCTGTGTTATCTTGACGTTTGGTTGTCTCGAGATGATTCAAAACGGATTGAGAGCGTCCTAGGAAAACGTGGGGTTGGTTACCCACCCGCCCACCACAAGCAGTCGCGGCCTTGCCGTTTTGGTTTTGCTGTGTACTCTTCGATCTTCTTTTCGTCTTTTCGACACTTTTTTGCACCGCCGCCACTCAGCGCACCATTTTAAAGTTTTAGGGCATCTCCGAGGATATAGCTGTGGTCCGAATTAAGACCTTCCCGCCCCAAAGAAAAAAACTAGGGAATGAGGGTATGTGGGGCTCGGGGGTGGGGGATCCATCGCTGGCCAAATACTTTTTGTTCAAAATGAGGATTTTGGCTCGAAATGGGACTTTTGCCCACCCACGCAGTTCCCGCGGGCGCAACGCCGTCAGGACGTCGCGCGGTGCCTGCTGCCACCACCGCTAGTCGACGCGCAAGCTGCTGGAAGAATACCACCGCAGTTGGATGTATAGATGCAATCGAGGGTTGCCCACACCGCAGCCCAGCACAAGGGTCAGGACGTTCCGTTATGCCTGGCCTGCTGTCACACACCCGTTTTGTAGTCTACACAAGCCGCGACGACGCATTTCTATCTAGATGTTTAGATGCCATCGAGGTATCTACTGCTGCTGCTACCGTGCATGTCCTTGAGATCGTTATTTTTTTCGGGCAAGAGAGCAATGCATCGCTTCAGGAGACACATCTTGCTCGAGCCCCGATCTCGAATTTACCTCCAACAGCGCTTCCGGCTGCTGCTGCAAATCGTGGCACCCGCGCATTAAGGAAAAATAAATACACACAGAAAGAATACCCATTCGAGATATACCAACAACAGTCGAACAGGCATAATAGCAACCCGCCAGCGCTGGCACACCTACGTTGAGACTCTTGTGTCGCTCAAAATGAGAGAAAACTATAATATAATTGTGTCGCTCAAAATGCGAGAATACTATAAAATGTCCTCCAGATTTTCGTGTCCGGTACTGCCCCACACGCTCCACGCACGAGCAGCATTCGTTGCATGATTAAAGAACAAAATAGAACAAAACAGTCAATTACAAGATCTTTCCCTGCATAGGACCCTCCCAAGCAGTGATCTGCAATCACGTTCCTCCATCCATAACCCGAGATAGCTAGCACACCCATAACCCATAACTGTTCATCCGGGAATATTCAAACGTGGAAACAAAAAGGGAGGCGAGAGCGAGGGGGGGGCACCGCGGAGAGGTACTCGCGATACCACGTACCATCCATTTGCTTTCAACTCTCACCACTCTATTCGAACGTGAAAAATAGTCAACACCGAACAAACCCTCTAAAAACGAACAAGAGCATCATGCGCTGGAGGCCCCTGTGGGTACGTCGATGCTGCAAACCAAAACAGCAAATAAAGGGAAAAAGAGAAAAACACAACTCACATCCATCATCAGAGCAACCACTTTTCACGGCCGTGCTCCCCCGGACAAAAAAAGGTACACCGAAAACGACAGGCAGGGCCGCTCTACCTTTTCACCCGCTACCGCTACAACGAAGCCAGGCTAAGCGACTTCTCTTCTACCCCCCTCCCCACGCTCCGCTCCCACTCCTCCTGCTCCCCCTCAAGCATAGCAAGCGCAGCGGCGGACTGCGCCAGCTCCCGCTCCAGCCTGTCCACCGCAGCCTCCGACTTCTTGTTCCACGCCTTGTTGAGCGACTTGCGCTTGGATTCGATCTCTAGCGCTCGCTGCTCCTCTGCCGAAAGCACCGCCGCCGCCGCGGCGGGCGAGTCCGACTGCCCCCCCCCGTTGCTGCGGTGTGCGTCACCCCCTCCCGCTGCGTCCAACCCTGCGCCTAGCCTAATAGTAGCGCCCACGTGCGTGGACTCCCCCCGATCCGCCAACCTTCGCTTGGACTCGACGTCTAGCTTGCCGGCCGGAGTGACGGCCAGGGCGGGCAATTCTAACCCCGCCCCAACCCTGCCGGCCTTCTCGGACCCCTCTACCCGCAGCCCGTTCGTCTCCTCGTCCGCCGGGTGGCCGCTAACCTTCACCTCATCGGCCTTTCTCTTAGAAGGCGCTACCACCGCCGCCGCCGACACCGCCGCCGCCTTCTTGCTGCCGCTCCTGCCCCCGCTCTCCCGTTTCGCAGGCACCGCCTCCGTCGCCGGTGCTCGGTCCAACGCCGCCACGAGTACCGCCTCCACCGCCTGCGTCGACTCGGACGCGTCAACGCCGGCCTTAAACTCGATCTTCAGCGGCCGGTCCCCGGCAGCGGCAAGGCCGCCGGCGGCGCCGCCCTCATCCACGTTGATCGCCGGCTGCCGCTGCTTCGCCTCCAGGCCCTCCGCCTCCGCGATTAGCGCCCTCGCCGCCGCGACGGCCTCGCTGGCCGGCTCTCGCAGACCCGCGTCCACGAATATCTGGCCGACCTTGTGCTCCCGGACGCGGTAGTTGCGGTACGGCTGCCGAAGCTTGGAGAGCGCCTTCGACTCGATCTGCCGCACGCGCTCGCGCGTGAGCCCCAGATCCCGCCCGATCTCTTCGAGGGTCTTGGAGGTGGCACCGTCCAGGCCGTAGCGCGCTCGCACCACCTGTTCGTGTTAACGGGGGGCGGGCGGGCGGGGGGTGGGGGTGGGGGTGGGGGTGGGGGTGGGGGGGCTGAGCTTTTCTATGCGGCAACTTTTGTATTGGCTTGGTGAATCCCTTGTTGGTCCAGTACACCACGGAAGCGACAGAAAACACTAGCAAGCGGGCAAGACAAAGAGCCGGGGTGGAACGGCGCGAGACTGCGCTTCGAACAAACGAGCTTCATACTTGTACAACGCGAACGCATACTACTGGTCTCTACGTGTACGCGACAGCGACAGCGAAACAAAAACATCCATCATCAAGAGGGAAGAGAGAGGGGAGCAAGAAGATCTAATCCACCCACCTTTTGCTCCCGGTCTTTTAGCGTGGCCAGCAGCGCCGTCACCTTCCCCTTCATGTAGAACGCCTGCGTCGCGTCTTCCGGGTCGGGGGTGCTCTTCTCGCCGATCTGGGTCCCCAGGTCGTCAGCGGCACCGTCGGACACCTTGTTCGAAGCACGTATGTCGAGGCTGATGCTGTCTGTACGCAGGGCCGCCTGACGGTAGTGCTGGAGGGAGGAGGGTGACCGAAGGGGAGCCGCGGTGGGGGAGAGAGGGGGGGGGAGGGGGTATGGACAGCGGTTACACAAAGAACAGTTACACACTGCTGATGTAAAGTTACAAACAATATACACTAACAGAAAGACTACCCTGTCACGAGACAATACAATACACCTAAACCGAAGGGATACATGGAAAGTTTGCGAAAAGTTGCAGACTTTGGCGCAAGCTATCAGCGTACAGACAAGTCGCCTCCATTTCGCCAAGTAACAACAAAACCTTCACACACAACACACACACAAACACAATTTGTGCTTTAAACCGAACTGAGACTGACATATTTTCATTGGTCAGTCGGTTAGCGCGGTCGATGCTAGTAAGAAAAAACACACACAAACACAAACATACCTGAATCTTCTCAACGGTAGCCCCGAGCTTGTCGCCGAGCTCTTCGTCCGTGGGCACCTTCCCATCCACCGTAAGCTCGTACGTGTACTTCCGGATGGAGCTCAGAAAGGCGTGCACTTGAGTGGGCAACCGAATAACTCGGCTCTGTAACCGGCAACAACCAACAACGAAACGAAGAGGGCGTTTCCAGATGGTAAGGCCGGGGCGCGCGCGGGAGGGGGGGGGTACAGCGTCCATGCAACCGAGGTAGACACCACGGGGCGCCGACTGATTTATGAAAACCTCCTTTGTCTGGTGTTTCCATGGCGACGGTTGCACTGTTCGGAGAGCCAAAGACAGCAACTCGTGTCTCACCAAATACCGCCTCTTTTACCTAAGAAAGTTCTTCGCCAAAAGTTCAAACCTAAACTCGACTCTTTCTCATGTAAGGACAAGGCTTTTATGTACGGACATCAGAACATGCAGTGAGCGGAGACCGGAACGATATTTGATGTGAAGGCAACAAACAACAACAACAACAACAACATGGAACCCTACCGCACAAAAAAAAAAAATGTCGTCGAGGCAACACAAACCTGGTTCGCGATGCCTGTCAAGATGCTCTTCTTGATCCACCACCTCGCGTACGTGTAGAACTGGAAGCCCATCTCCGGGTTGAACTTCTCGCACGCTTTCACCAGGCCCATGGTGCCCTCCTGGATAAGGTCCGGGAACGCCAGCCCCCGGCCCCGGTAGCCGCGCGCCATGCTCACCACGAGCCTGAGGTTCGCCGAGATCATGTGCTCCTTGGCCTCGTCCGCCACCGCAAGCTCCCGCAGCAGCTCGTCCTTGGTGAGGTGGAGCGTCGAGGCCCACTCCTCGCAGGAAGGGGCCGCCCCGTGGGTGGTCTCGAGACGATCTCGGACGCGCTCGAGCTGGAGGCCTGTCGGCGGCGGAATCGGTGCCAGTTCGCAGGGGCAACGACAAGGGCGGTTAATTATCACGTTGTTATACATGTTTCGATAAAACTACACAATAAATCCATCTCAAACCAAATAGACAAAAGGATAAATTTGCTGTTTGTGTAACGTACCGAAAAGTTATCCTTCTAAGCCGCGTGATGGCCTTTTTCTTTCGTTGTTAAATCTTTCTCGGCAATACAAGGATTAAAACTTGATATTTAGTTTCAACAGCATAGCGTACGTCGTCAGTTTACCGTTCGGGTTTGGATCAGTGGGGGGGGGGGGTGTACTATTAGTCGTGCATGCCGTAGTCGTTAGACCATTGTGGGGGGGGGGGGGTTCCGTGGCTGTGTGTGAATGCAGCAAGGAACACGCAAGAGAGAACGCTTCATGTAATGATGTACAAGTATGCATACGTCGAATTTGAGTCAACGCTACAGGTGCGTTGAGAATAACCATGGTAACACCGCCCTTCTTTTGAAAACGAAATCTGCTGCTGCGTGGGGATATTATGCGTACGTCGTTTCGAAAATACAGGAAAACAAACCCCTCAGCGCTGCACGAGCAACCTAGGCCCTGCTCATCTGATTATGTCTCAGAATAATCGGAGCAGATGCACGAAAGGGAACCAGGGGTGTGAAAGAGAATTCAAGTTTCGAGTCACGCCGCAGAGACCCAAACACGTGTGTACGTAGATACCGCACTTGCAGCGGAGCCACCATTTACGTGACGGCAACAGCTGTAAGGCGGTGGTCATATGCATACTGCGAGAATTTGCTCACACGAGGATGACAGGTGGTGGTGAGGAGAAAAAAGGGGGGTGTATGATTTTGCGCTGTACGGTACACGCTCACCTCTCTGGATTTGTCGTCCAAGGACAACTTCCTCGTCGGGCTTTAGCAGCTTGATCTTCTTGAGGGTCTTGAAGTACACGTTGAGGGGGTTAGCGTCAGACGACGACGACGACGACAACGACGACGACGGGGCGGAGACGGTCACAGCGGGGACGGAAGGCGAAACGTCCTTCGAAGGTGGTGCAACTCCTCCCGCCGCTCCTGCCTTCGATTCGGCGGCGGCGGCGGCGGTGGTCTTCTTTTTCTTGCCGCCGCCGCCGCTGTTTTTTCTTCTGAAGCCCTTCGCCGGCGGCGGCGGGTTCGCCAAAGCCCCTCCTCCTCCTCCTCCTCCTCCCTTCGCAGCTGCGGTCGGTGCTGTTGCTTGCGAGCCTGCCCCCCTTGCCCGCGATTGCTTGTCTACTGCCCCCACGTCAGTGGCGGCCCTATCCTTAACCGCTACCCCCGCGCTAGACGACGACGGCGGCACCCTATCTCGGCCCCGCTTTCGCGTCGCCGACGCCGCCGCTCTCGCCGCTCCCGACCTCGCCGCTACCCCCGGCCTTGCCGCCGCCTTTCGGCTGCTGGACGCCATGCTACAGCGCGAAACCGCTGCTGCCGCTCGGCGTTCACGCCGGCCCGGTGTTGACGCCGCTGACGTGCTTTCGCCCAGGCTTGTTGCCGCTAATCGGCGCTCGGCGCAGTAGAAAGAGTCCCCGGCTCCGTGCGCTCGCCCTGGGGGGAGGGGGGGTAGGTGGGGTTAGCGGGTGGCGTGGTGTGGCAGCAGCGGGTAGGCAATGGGGACATCATCATATTGGTGTGTGCATCGCTGCTCCCTTTCCATGATGGCAGGAAGTTCCAAACAAACATGCTGTTCACGGCACTTCAACTTTGGTACGTGCACAGGGATATGAGAGAGGCTACTCTGCATGTTTGATAGACGAGACTGTTTACAAATTCCTACATGTGGGCATGTAAGTTTTGTTTGACTCAGAGCGTAGGGCGGAATCATGTTCGTACACATCCAAGGCCCAACGCTGCGTAATTCGGCACCGGACAGCTTCAAACCGCTGTTTTTCATCTGGCCACCACGCCAATTCGCGAAAGCTAGGCAATACGGGAAGTGCTTACACCCATCCCGGGAGCACCGGCCTGGCTTGGGGGTCAGTTAACTCGTCGTGTGCAACGCTCTCACCGAAGCTGCCCGGTGGAGCGAAGCCCTGTGTTCGTGGCGGTGCCGAGGCACACATTGCCCCAACCACACACACGGCCGTCAATCTTCGTCGAGAGAGAACCATTAGCAGGATCGCGCCGCCACCAACCAAGCCCCACTAGCCCCACGCGACCGACCCTTTCCCCCTCCCCTCCGTCTCTGGCACGCACTCCTCGCTGTTGAGTTGCGGACGTCGTCCCCGGGCCTACCACGTTGAACTGCGCGCGCGAAACGTGAGGCCACACTCTCCAGTTTTTTTTATTGCCCGGTTTATGGGAAAACTGCTCGGTGTTGCGCTGACGCCGTAGCTCTTGCGATGGGATTCCACGCAGTGGTAGAAGGCCCCCGGTTGCTGCCGAGGAGCTTGTTGACGAGATGCTCTCACTCTCTCCCTCTCTTGGGTTCGTTTTCGGGGGTGGGGCTGTCGTGCCTAGTTGCCTTTTGAGGACAACGTGTGTATCGTGGCGTTTCCGTATACGGGGATGCTGCCCTAAAATCCCCCCGCCTGGTGTTGTTGTCTGTCAGCAGTCAGCAGTCAGCAGCAGCGGAGCGAGGAGGACAGCTCATCATCATACGCCCGCGGTTTGGATTTTTGGTGTGTCATGCTTCTCGTTCGCGGCCTGTCCTTGCTGGCTGTCGGCCTCGCGGCGGCACCGACCGGCTGTGCGCTTGTCCCGCCCACGCCGCTGCCTCGGACCACAGCGGGAGGGCACGCCGCTGCGACTGCGAGAGGCAAACATGTCAGGCAAGGATCCTCCTGTTTGCTGCAGACGTACTTGCACAAGTAGGTCGCAGAAGTGGGTCGGCCCTGAAGGACAAACACACGATATGCGTATTCATACGTACTAAGCATGTGTGCTGGCAAGCCTTCAATCTTGCTGGCAAGCCTCCAACCCTCTGCCTCGTGTACGTGTCGAACGATCTGTCGTGTCGTCTCAACTTCTCTCTCACATTAGCCACGTACATACGCCGGCCTAGACATATGATGATCGCACACAGCGTCTCCAACTATCGCAGTGTAGCGTGTGTTCTTGTTCCGAGACGAGGATGTAAACGTAAATACGCAGCGTCGCTTGGAGGGAAGTCAAAGTTGTCGACTGCGCGGCGATGATGCACGTACCACTTCATGAACCTGTTGCAGGGCCGTTGGTTCTTCGGAAATAATTTTTACTGTGCCATGCAAGGAGGATCGTCCACGTAGACGAACCTCGTTGTGCTCTTTGTTACTGAGTACTGAGCTATGTATCTATGCGCCATGCACACAACGGTAAGTTGAGGCCAGGACAGCCGTCGGGTAGGCAGCCGGATAGGAAAGGGAGGAAGAGACAGGGGAAGAAAGTCTGACAGTGAGAGAAGGTGACACGCAGCTCTCGTACCGTATAATTTAATGTTGAAGAAGGCGACGTGCCGAGAACAGCAGTGCTGGGAAATAGCGCGGAAACGTGCTAGGTGCGCGTCGTGGTGTGGTAAAAGGCATCCGAAGAGTTGACACAGAATATCCCCCCGAGATGCTCACAACTCTGCGCACCCCTACTGCTTGCGTGTGAGTACAAGTGTCCGGCAATCTCCCTCGCGCGCAGCAGCTTTGGCCGTGCGATGTGTTGCTGCTGGTTGTTGATGAGAGAGGAAGAGAATCGCTGCTAGCGTGTACACACGTGTTCGGGGCGCAAGACACCTACACATCGATAACTCACAGACAGACTTTTTGCGGCAGCTGGACGTGGGCACTTTTAGTATACAATCAGTACGGAGTATTTGGGTGTGTTTTGTCTTGGGGAACGCAATACGAGTATCGTCATCCTTTACAAGGCGTCTCCCCTTTTCTCTCTCTGGATGTTGTGCACAACCTTTAATACGGCAGCTGGACGGTGTTTTTTAGTACACAATCAGCATGATGGGTGTGCACGGTTGGTTAGCTTTAATTTTCAGTCTTGCGGACGCAATACGAATATCGTCATCCTTTACAAGACGTCTCCCCTTTTCTCTCTCTGGATGTTGAGCCTCACTTGATCACTGGGTTCTCGGGTTTGTACGAGTTTTGTTTTCAAATGCAGGATGTTCTCGACTGACCGACCTGTCGCTATAACCCCGCGGGCTCTCAGGCAAATCGCGTCTTGGAGAGGAGGGGCGGTTGAAAGCAGCGAGGGTGGACCACCTCTCATGAACGTCCAGCTAGGACTGGTCAGGGTCGCTGGGTATGGCATCATCGCTGGTTCTCTTTGCCTCAAGGTGCCCTCGTAGGCTCAGCTCTGTCTCTGTCTGTATTTCTCTCTCTATCTACTGTATCTGTCTCTCAGTGTATATATCTCTATTTACTTCCTCTATCTCTTTCTCCGTCTGTCTTATCTCTACAGTAGATGTATCTGTCTTATCTCTACAGTAGATGTATCTATCGCTCTCTTTTGTTCGTGCAAGACCAATTCAGAGGCGAGCCGCAGAGGCGGGTGTCCTCTGCTACGAGAGGGTCAAGACTTCAACCCAGAGTCCCGGGTGAGGGTACTGGGTGTACACTGCTCACAGAAGCCTCAACAGCAGCAGACGAACGCTCTTGTTTGCAACAACAGCACCGGCGACATGGCACCGAGAGGGGGCGTTGTTTCTTGTTCCGACTGTTGTCAGCGTCTTCCGGTGGCACTCCGATCCAGGTTCAAGTGCCCCTTGCAACTCTCGACACAAGCAGCGTTGATTCCGGGGTTCATGCGTGCCCTCTTACACGGCACACTTTGTTACCATCCATCCAATTTCTTTTTGCGCTTGGGAGGCACGGCAGTGCCCCACAGCAGTAGAAGAAGGAACGGGTGGCGAGGGGAACCCATTGTACAGATTTCGCTACGCGGTGGCGCCCACAGAGCATGCTTGTGGAGCGTATTTCCCTCTTCCCCTCCTCGCCCCTGCCTTCCCAAAGTGAAAACCTCTGAGGCTTCCCGACCTCGTGACGCCGAGGCAACCACTATATTGTCGTACAGAGCAACACTGACGGAACAAGCCCCCCCCCCTGTCCTCCGCCTTAGGTTTGTATCTATCTACCCCGCGGGGGTGTCACGCTTGTGACCGTCTGAGATGACTGCTGTGACGCCCCCCTCACCCCCCCCTTCCCTATCCTCCTCTTTGCAGACCCCCCAGATCGCGCGGGTGTGGCACGCCAAGTCCCTGGTGGGCCTCGCACCGGCTTCCATCTACGCGGACGTGTTCCTCTTCGCGACCTCCGTGATCTACCACGTTCTCAAGAAGAACCCCATCCGCGCCTACGGCGAGTCAGTGGTCGTGCTGTTCCAGACGCTGGTGATGGTGGGCCTGCTGTGGCGCTTCGGTGCCGAGGAGGAGGTTGCCGTATCCGACGGCGGCGGCGACGAGGAAGGTGTGTTGGCGGGGGTTCATAGCCGTGCATGCCGTAGACGTTAGACCATTGACCTCGGGTCGTCACTACAAAGCCGGGACGGAGCACGGCCGGGTTTCTCACAGGACCAGGTTCTCACATCACCAGCGCCGTGAGGTATTCGGCGAGTCGCATGGGAAGGGGTGTTGGGCTGAGTGCAACGAGAGAGAGAGAGAGGCTGGAAAGCGGTAAATTTTTTGTGGTAGTTCTTTGGGGGGGTGACGGGGTATCATGTTCGGAAAGCGGGAGCGTACGGTTGCGCTGATTTTCAGCAGCTGACGACGGCGGGGGGGGAGCACCGTTATTCATTTCGGCGGCGGCGAGGGGGGCGGGGGTCACCTCTACGGCCAAACACGTTGATGGGGTCGTGTAAAGACAGAGGGAACAGGTGTTGGCACCCCTCCGCAACTCGACTTGAGGCCGAGGGGGGCCAGAACTACGACCGATAGTAGTCGTAAGGGGTGGCGGCCTGATCGGGTTCACTGTACGGCCGCCCGACTCCCACGCCTTGTGCTGCGTGTGGTACAGAGAGCTGGGGTTAGGGTTAATGGTTACAGCTACAAGCGCCATCCTCGCGTGCAAGCATGCATCATTAACCGTACCGTAGCGTGATTCTTCTCGCTATGTTAGTTTCTTTCCACGATCCCAATAGAGGGGTTCCGCCGCCTCAGGATAGGAAGGAAGCGACGGTGCGTGGGGGTTGAGGGTAGGGAGTTGTACTCATGTAAACGCATGCCGCAGTCGTTAGACTGTTGACCTCGCATCCCTACACTGGGCGGGGGATATCGGGGTACGCTCTGCCGGGTGCTACAACAGCAACTCCCTGCATGCACTCCCCGTCTGTCGCGAAAAATTTATTCTGCTGCTTTTGTGCATAGACCGGACGAAGACGAGCGCGTCATTCTCTGCTTGCAGCCACCACGACACAACATTTGATAAACTATCTGTTGCTGACCCGGAAAACATTTGAACAGCTCTGGTCACCAAGAGCACCAAGAAAGTAAAGCCCGCCGGGGGAGGACCTGTCGGAAGGACGGCGATAGTGGCCGGCTCCGTGGCGGCCTCGGTGCTGTGCGTGCTCTACCTTCCCGAACGCCTGTGGGGGCTGCTGGTGATCGTGTCCACGCCGACGATACTGGCGGTTCAGCTGCCGCAGATTTGGAAGAACTGGCGGCAGAAGCACACGGGAGAGCTGGCGGTGCTGACGGTGCTGCTCGCTTTCGTGGGGTCATCCATTCGGATAGCAACGACCATAGCGGTGAGAGGCGGCGGGGTGTATGATCGGGCATATGCCGTAGGTGGGTTGTTGCTGGAGATTTCGTACCCCCGTGGACCGATTTTCAATGCTCTGCAGCTATGCCAGTGAGGGTGACTTTGTTGGAACCTTCTCATCGAGAGCTTTCCGAGAAATCATTAGTTGACTGCGGCATCAACCTTAGGAAATCGGTCCGGGGGAGGTGTGGAATCGTGGTGGCGTGGTGCAACACGCCAGGCGGGTTGGTTGCAGAAGATGGCACACCCCGTCGACCGATTTTGAAAGCTCGATTACTTTCCAGAGCAACAGCAGTGAGGGTGCCAGCGTTGGAACCGTTTTGTCGAGAGCTTTCCGAAAATACTTCATTTCACTGCGGACTGTAATAAATCGGCCCAGGGGAAGTGTGGAATGTTATGCAACACGTCAGATGGGTTGCAGAAGATGGCACACCCCGTCGACCAATTTTCAACGCTGGATTACTTAGCAGCGCAACAGCAGTGAGGGTGCAGCGTTGGAACAGTTTTGTCGAGAGCTTTTCCGAAAATGCATCGTTGACTATTATGGCATTCTCTTGGTCGTGGAGTGGTCGGGCTTAAAGAATCGGTCCAGGGGCTGGAAAAGCTTCTGGAACACTTTTTACTATAATCCCAGTTTTACCACGCTGTAGGGCGGAAATTAACGTGGCGATGAGAGCCTGTGAATGTAGATGACACATTTCCCACTCCACGTTCATGGGCGTCTCCGTACTCTTGGGTTTTGAGGAACTTCACGCCTGAAGGCGTTTTTTTTTTTTTTTTTCTTCAATACCACAACAATCTCATCTCTTCCACAGATACTCTTGGATTCAAAGTGTTGTATGTTGGCCAATTTCTATTTCTACCGTTCCCCAAGCAGCATGGTGCGTTATCTCCCCTGTGGGTACCAGGCTCAACAAGCGTTGTTTGTGAGGCCGGGTTGTTGGTGGTGATAAGTAGGGCTGGGGCATAGACCTTGCTCGTGTATGCCTGTTTCCCGTTGACATTGGGAGAGGTAAGGGCGGCTGAACAGGGCACGCCTGCACTTGCGTCACATGTGGGACGCATGGTCAATGGTTTAACCATTAAGCCATGCATAGCAAAACGTAAGAGTACCCCCCCCCCCCCCCCTCCTCCTCCGCCACTTCTCGTCCGTGTTGTGCAGGACCTTGGGGGGGATCCGTGGTTGCTGTTCAACTACGTCTTGGGAGCGACCTCAAACGCGACAATTTTGGCGCAGATCTATCTCTACAGAGCTCTCACCGCCACCGTGGGACGAGACGTGGAGGCGAAGGCCCACAAGGCTGCGCATGCGGCGTGATTGTACGAGGGCGGGGGGGGGGGGTTCATTTTCGTGAATATGTCGGTGTCCAGACAGCAAGTTTAAGCTTTCAGGAGTCTTGTTTTTTCTAACCCTTAATTATTGACGATGTGGCAGGCGTTCAGGTCGGGAGATGAGGGTGAGAAATATCCCCTCAGCTGTCAATAATACTTGCCACCAGTGAATGACGGAGATACCTGCCGGCAGCGAGGTTACACGCCCGCTTGAGTTGGGATCGTGAGCGAGTGTTGTGGCCAAGGCACTGGGGCTGCGCCCGTAGGAGGCCCCCGCTAGTTGGGGCTCTCGTTCTTGTGGGATGTACTGTCGCCGGTCTTGTCGGGGTTGCTTAGAGCTATGTCCCCCTGCTGCTCTTGCGTTGTTGGTGTGATTAAAGCAGCCGCTGTACCAGTGCAATGGCATGCTGTTGGTACTCCTGCTTTTGCAAATTCCTAGAGATGCCTATTTTGATTGCATACTTTGTGCGTATGATATGATATAGACAGGTGGGGAGGTTTCCGATTCGCTGTCGCTGCCACGTTTGCCCGTGTTCCGTGTGAAATTTACGCGCTAATGTCTGCCGTCTCATCTCGACCAATTCGTCAGTACAACCTTCACTCACTGTGAAACCCGCATGTACTTGCGCGATCGTTACCGAGAATCTCAAACTGCAAGTGTAATGGAGTACGAGTGGTTCCGGGATCGAATCGTGGATCTGTTGTGTCTTCTGTTTGTTCATCATTGCTGCTGTTGTGGCCTTCCCGCTGCGCCCATCTCAGCACACACAGCAGTAGCCTTCGCAGTGTTTTTTTTTTCGAATTTCCCGCGAAGGCGGTCCTCTCAGCACAGGCTCGACGCGGAACGACGGCAAGCAGTTGTGTACAACAGCCATTAGACACGCCGTCGGAACGAAAGTAGTACGAATGAGCATTGAACGTGTAGCTGTACAGCAGATGTGTCGTTGTCTGCTGGTTCCCAAGCTCTAGCTTGGGTCTCAGTCGATCAAAAGTCTTTTTTTTCCGTCTGTGGAGTTTTCAGTAGCATAGCGGACCCCTTGCCCGACCGGGTCGAAAAGGCCGATCTCAGCCCACACTGCGAACCTCCGAGAACTACCAGCAGTTCTGGGTAGCTGAGACGATTTCAAGACCTCTCACAGTCGTTTGAGCATCTATCGCTTGCTGTGGGGCGATAACCAGTTTCTCCGTCGACAAGAAGATCTGCGTTACATCGTCACATCGGAACGACCAGATTGGTTGACTTGTCGTTGAGGGTCCTCTTTTTATAGATCTTTTTGTATAAGAGTCGTCTTCATTTTTTTCGCCGCCCGCGCCAACCCTTCTTTTTACAGATCTTTTTATATAGAGTCGTCTTCTTTTTTTCGCCGCCCGCCCCAAGCCTTGCTTGCTTCTCTCGTGTCCCGCGCCAAGCCTTGCTTGCTGGCTACGCTTCTCTCGAGATGCTGACCGACCTCAGCACACAGCTGGACATTCTGTGTACATACAGCAGGAGCTGCTTTTGTTCTGTTGTTGCAACTTTCTGCATGGATGGCTCTTTTGTGGTGCGAAAATTAGCATTTATTGTTGTTGTTGATGTGCGGACGAGAGGACGAGAGTGGTAGGCAAAAGCAGTACGTACCTGCAAATCTCCGGCAACTACCAGCAGTTCTGGGTAGCTGAGACGATTTCAAGACCTCTCACAGTCGTTTGAGCAGCTATCGCTCGCTGTGGGGCGATAACCAGTGATTTTGTGATTTTCTTCCTTAGTCTATAGTGACCGTTGTACACATGCGGTGGCTGCTGTTATGCTCGGAAGATGCTGCAAAGGTCATAAGGTTATCGTCTCTGTCGCTTGGGCTGCACGCCGTGGAGATGCGCATTCCTCATTTTTTCTCTGTGCCGATATCCATGAAGAAAAGCAACGGCAGCACGGTTGAAGATACAGACAACAGACGGTCCGCCATACCCTTTTTTTTTTCTTCCCTTACATGCATGGATGGGTGGTAAAGCATCGCAAGCGTGTTGCTGCCTTACTTACCTTTAGTGTGCTGCGTAGTCGTAATTTGAGCGATAAGGGGTAGATGGCAGGACAACAATCTTATTTGCGTAGTGAGGTTTGACAACTGGTCGTTCGTGGAACGGTGCGCGTCTATCGCGACGGCAAGCGTATTGAGAAAATAGTTCGTCCGTGGTGCTTCTCGTCATCATTTTCTATTTCGTTGTCACTTCATACTTCATACCACAAGTGATGAAAGAGAGTCTCCACAGTTAGTTCGGAAACGGCGACTATATTTGGTTTGTTGCGTTTGTTGTTGCTGAGCACACATCGGATGTCGTCGTTCGTTACAGCCTGCGGTGGGCCACAGGGACGAGAGTGAGTGTCTTCGGTTAGGGTCTCGAGAGTTAATTAATGCCTTCTCTACGCTTTCTTCTGTTGATCTACGTAGTAGTAGCACCTGTCTCTTCTCGCCTATTATCGCCGTTGGGGTCCCAACAACATCGAACGTCAACCGCAATCCGTTTTTCTTCTTGCTGAGTAAGAGGCTATTTGTGTAGTACGTACCCGGCTGCTGTATGTGAGGCGATGGGCGCTGCCTCTTTACTTGAAGCAACGGGGGCATGGCCCCTATAATGTTTGCTGCATGCTGTGCTATGTGACAGCTTCCAGCGGTTCAGAGCGGCGACGGTGGTTTTCGTATGCTCTCTTTTGCCACCTCCCTGAAGCCTGTCGCGTCTGGCTCACTTGTCTTTGTCGTCCCTTCTTCTTTTTCTTTTTTTTCTTAACATAGTCTATATTTTATTTTTCCGCTTGCTTTTTGGGGTCCGCCGGTCATCCGCCCACCACCCATTAGTTCAGTTTTAAATGTTGTTGTTGTTGTTGTTGTTGTTGTCTTCGCATTAAAAACCGTTCAGATCTCTCTCTACCCAGTACCTTCATATGTGCGTACTGATCCAACACTTGACGCGGTCGATTCCCGTGGTCACAGGCTAACTTACCCTAAAGAGGTACGCTAAAACAAACTGGCCCCGAAAGGTCCGCAAGTCAATAAAAATCAACGACAGATATTCTTTGGAACGGGGTGTTTACTTGCCATCTCTATGCAAGTTTCACAATTAATTTTGAAGCTTTTCTGAAGCTAGTTGAAACAGTAGTGTCATCGTTCGATATCCGTTCGGTGAGGAATCAATCGCAAATCATGACCCGTCCCCGAGTTGTAGCAGCTTCCGCCTCCTGGGGCCGGCAAGAGTCGGCCTTCACTGCTGTACCTTGTCTGTTTCGCCATGGGAATGGCCGGTTCAAAGCGAAAGAGGGTCCTGCGTGCTGCGCGCCACCACCTTTTTTTTTTTGCGTTTGTTTGTTGTTGTGATTTTCTTCCTGAGTGACCGTTGTTGTACACAACATGCGGCTGCTGCTGTACACATACTTGCGGTTGCTGCAGTATATGCTCGGAATGTGCTGAAAAGAAAGGTCGTAAGGTTATCGTCTCTGTTTTTTTGGGCTGCACGCGTTGCTCGCGTAGGCGATGCGCGTCTCCTACTTTTTTCCAGTGTCGTTGTCGGCAGCACAGTCAGTTGAAGAGACAAACAACAACAGACGGTCCGCCTTGTTTTGTTTTGCTGCATGCATGGTTGGTATGCATCGGCACGCGTGTTGCTTCCTTGCCTTGAGTCTGCTGCGTAGTCGTAATTTGAGCGATAGGTAAGCTAGATGGCAGCACAATCTTAGATACTACGTAGTGAGGTATGATAACCAACAGCTCGTTCGTGCAGCGGTGCGCATCTATGGCGGACGGCAAGCGTATTGCGATAATAGTTCGTCCGTGGTGCTATGTAGTCGTGCTCTTTTTAGTTCTCACTTCCTACAACAAGATAGTAGTCCACAGCTCGCACACGGCGACTGACTATATTTGTTTGTTGTTGTGCTTGTTTGCTGTTGCTGAGCCGACATCGGATATCGCCGTTCGATACACAACGTGACATCATGTCTGACAGCCTGCGGCGGGCCAGAGGGACGAGAGTGAGTGTCTTCTCGACAGAGTCAATGCCTTCTCTTCTCGAGAGAGTCAATGCCTTCTCTTCTCGAGAGAGTCAATGCCTTGTCTTCTCTCCGCTCTCGTATTTTTGTCTACCTCTCTTTCTCTCTCTCTCGCCTTTCGCCGGTAGGGTCCCAACAACATCGAACGTCAACCAACCGCAGTCGTTTCGCTTTTTGCTGAGTAAGAGGCTACCCGTGCATCCGGCTGCTGCATGTGAAGCGATGGGCGTTATGCCAAGCAATGGACTTGGGCCCTACCTAATATTTGCTCCATATGTAGTGCTATGTGAGAGTTTCCAGCGGTCCGGAGCGAGCGGCGACGGTGCTTTTCTTCTATGCGCTCTTTTGCCTCCTCCCTGAAGCCTGTCGCGTCTGACTCGTTTGTTCTCGCTTCTTTCTTTCTTTTGTTTTTCATGCTTTTGTTTTTTGGGGTCCCCCGGTTCCTGTGTGCTCATCGGGCATCTTCTTGGTGTCTACCTTGATTGTTACCCGCTGCAAAAATCGAAAGCTTCAGACAGGCAACGCGACGATACTCGTCGAGATGCCATACACAATGAATTCATTGCTAATCTGTCTCAGACTCTTTTCTATGATGGAGATGGATTCGTTGTGTCATATTAAGAAGAATAAACATAAAAAAACATCCTGTCGTTACTCTATCGATACCTCACACCCACCCCTACTCACGCCGACGCAGACACAGACAGGCAGACTCAGCTCTTTCGCCTGTGCTGTATCTGTTGTTCGTGCGTGCTGAAAAATGGTACATACAGCAGCAGCTTACCGCAGCAGGAGCTGCTTTTTGCTTGTTTGTACAGCTTTTCCTGCAGGGATGGCTCTTGTTGTGCGGCAAGTTGCATTGTTTGTTGTTGATGCGGACGAGAGGACGAGAGTGAGTGGTAGGCAAAAGCAGTACGTACCGTGTTAAAGGGACAGACAGAGTGCCTACCGTGTGTATGTAGACGTTGCATTTCGTGATTCCCGAGGATCGGATGTATGTGTTGTTTTTTTATTGCGTACCCGCGTCCATCACGACCATTATTGCGTAGTGTGTCGGCTAATTAAGGTCCTTCCCGTTCGTGGTGTCAGCACACGCGCAACACGCGACTAAAATAAAAATATAAAGCTTGGGACTAGCAACGCCGACGATATTCGTCGGCTTGCTTTCAACAATACTAGACTACATACTACGTTCCTCCTCTACGGCAACCAGTAGTCTTTCATCTACAGAGAACATCTTGCCTCCGCCCGTTCTCTCTCAGCAGCAGCGCAGCAGCGGTATGTATGATGTCCATGTACGTAGACAATCTCTTCAGAAAATGTCATTCTAGACCACTACTATTGAACGACGTACCCACACCCAAGACAGACATCAAGCAACGATTCCCCAAAACAGGGATACCTGAGCTTTGCAGATAGAAGGATATGACAATGATTCTGAGAGACATGGATCATGATCTGTTATCAGCGGGGGGGGGGATGAATGCAACAGGCCCCCCGGAAAATGAACACGCCTTCGATGAAAGAAACAGAAAAAAGTCAAGCACGGGGAGGGAGGGAGACAAACACAGGGGTCCACCTCGCACAGCTGCCGAGGGACAGAGGACTACACGCCGACGTAGCCCTTTCGAGCCCGTAGCACGAGCTTGCTCTGCCCCAGTCACGGAGGAGGTCGTCTCGGCGAAGAAGAGGAAAGGGACAAGCTTTTCTCTCCTTTGACGCAGCATATATTTTGCCCACAACCAACCACTGAAAAAAACATCAACAAGGCCACCGCAGACACCGCGCGCGCCATTCCTGGCATTGCTTTGGTGTGGCCGGAGACAGGAGCAAGGGGGGGGTACTGCTGCGCGTTGGTCGGCGGCGGGGGCGGCGGGGGCTGGCTGCCATGGTTTCTTCCCGGCGAAGAATAACGGTCTGTGTGGTAGGTGCAATGTGCGCCTCGGCGCCACCAGCTGAGGGCTTCACCCCACCAGTCTGTTTAGGTGAGCCACAGAGAGCGTTTTGGGTGCGGGGGGTGCATGCGTAACACGCCACCTTGCATGGGCACCCTGTACACATTCAGGCAGAGAAGGAGAGAGGCAGGGTACTTGTTGTTTGTTGCGCATGGCAAAAGCGCAACGTGTTGTTGTCCATCATCCTCAACTCCTACTTAGATAAATTACATATAAAGGTCAGACTGTGTTTGAACCCGTCATTATTGCGGGCTTGGAGTCTGACGCAAACATGTGTGTACGCCAACCTGCGCTTGCTTCTTGATGTTTCGGGAAAAACAGCGCGTGTTTGTGGTGCGGGGGACGCGTTCTACTCCGCGGAGCGTCGATTAGCGGCGGCCTCCGGGGCAGGCAGAGACGGCGGCGGCGGTGGTAGGCGAGGGACGATGAGAGGGCGAGAGGCAGCTGCTGCGCCCGTTGCGCGTGGAGCGTTGCCAGCACCTCCTACAAGAAGAGGGTCGACAGCAGCAGGGTGGATGATGCAACGGCCCGCCGCAAGTAGGTCAGCAGCAACGAGGATGATGTCTGCCGCCGTCGCAGCAGAGCCAGTAGAAGAGCTAGACACGCTGCGGCCGCCGCCGCCGCCGCAGCAGCAGCAGCAGCAGCTCCCCGGGATGCCGTTCGACATGCGCGACGACAGCGAGTTCTACCTCGAGATGGAGCGAAAGAAGGAGGCCGGACCAACGTACACTAGGGACAGCGACATGGTAGGCCTCGGAAAGGTTTCCACAAGAAAGACGGCGAAGCGGGACGGCAGCGGCGGCGGCGGAGACGCCCTCGCCTTCTACCTCCGCACCGTCGCCAAGGTGGACCTCCTCAAGCCCCACGAAGAGATAGTGCTCGGGCGGCAGATCCAGAAGGGCGTTTCCTATGAGAACACCCGGGATCACCTCCAGCTCATGCGCGGCTACGAGCCTTCCGAGGAGGAGTGGGCGGTAGCTCTCGGCATGGACCGGGAGGAGCTGGTGAAGGAGCTCAGCAGGGCGAGCAAGGCAAAGATGGCCATGCTGGCCGCGAACCTGAGGCTCGTCGTCAGCGTCGCCAAGCGGTACCGCTTCCAGAAGCTGAGCTTCCAGGACCTTATACAGGAGGGGACGTTCGGCCTCGTGAAGGCGGCGGAGAAGTTTGACCCCGAGAGGGGGTTCAAGTTCTCCACCTACGCCACGTGGTGGATCAAGCAGAGCATCATGCGGGGCATCGCCGACCAGGTGTGTATGTGCTTGTGGGTCCCCCCGTATGTGTATGTGTGTGTGTGTTTTTTTTTATCCCAGGGTGGGTGCACACAACACCACCACAGCCGCTGTAAGTGCTGCTGTACTCCTGGATGTTGAGAAATTGCTGTGGCAGGTTGTCGTGCGTCGTCCATGATTCCCAGAAATTCATTCGTTTGCTTGCTGCGGGGTGGTGCAACCAAATTTGTATGCTAAAGAGCATGTCATTTCTCTTTGTGTGCGAGGTATGCGTACCTCCGGCTAATCCAAGAAACGGCAGAGGTCTATCTACAGTGTATCTGTGCATACAGCCTTGCACATGTTTTAATCAAGCAGGTCGCGGAGGTGGTGTTGGACAGCACTGCTGCTGCGGCTGATCTCTTGTGTTTGTGTGATTTAAAGCCTAGATAGTTCACAGAGCGCAACCGCAGTCGATGGAGCGTTAATTGCGAATCTCTACGCTTGCGGTTAGCAAGGTGCCCTCACGATGAGCAACGACGACGCAGCTACGGGCACGCGTAGAATAACGTGAACCGCAAATGTAGTCAGGGTTATTTCTGGTGTCTTGTGACCACAAGAGAGAGTTGGTGGAAAGGAAGCCGGCCAGATGAGAGGGGCTTAAGCGGACAGGTATCGGCCATCGACGCCACGGAAGCACCTCATCTCAGACAGAAGAACAGAGAAGTCTTCGATGAGTCGGGTCGGAGAGATGCATCGCTTCTTGCTGCAGATGGTCAAGTAGTAGTCGGCGTGTTGCTGTAGGGAACTACACCGCAACATGGTTGCCCTGTAAGAACTGCACCGTTAGTCACACTGCAGCGTTGATTTGCCCATAAACCGCAATCGTCCCCGATTTGAGAAAGAGTTTGCTGTTGTGACACTTGTAGACTTTGTCCCATGTTCTTGAAGCGGGAAAAAGTGTCCTAATAGTTATCTCCCCCCCTACTCAGCATTGTTTTTACATTCTGCGGGGCATCACGCTTTGAAAAGCATGGTGTTCCTTGAGTCGGTCGATGTTGCCCGCATGCATTGCTAACATCTGTAGCCGGGGTCGAATTCGGCGGCAGGTGTCGTCTCGACCGGTGTTTGTTTGCCTCTCATGCTTTGGGAGGAATCCAAGCAACTTGTATGTGTGTAACACCTTCCTTTCTTTTCTTGGCGCATCTGTAGGTGTGTTGCAATGGGAGGGGGGGTGCACCGGTGTTTTGGAGGTTGCTAAGAGTTGCGGCTTTGCGCCGAGTGATGTGTATTGTTGTCGCCGACACTACCGTGTTGAAAGCTGTTTTCACGGGCTTTGTTCGGTTTTGCTACAGATGACGAGCAGCTTGTTTTTTGTTTTGCGTTTCGGGTCGGATGTGCTGAGTGCAATGCGCACACCCAGGTCAGCGTGCTGGTGCAGGCCGCACGTGTCTTTGCTTCTCGCCCCCACGCCCCGAACGCGGTACCTTCAAAGTCTGTTTGCATTCTCCATGGTCGTTCACGCGAATAACTGTACTGGCAACATCATGGGGTCACATGTGTTGTCTTGTTCAACAGTGCACCGCAGTGAACTGCGTGGGCATCTACCCCCCCGTCCCGTCAACCCCCCGTCCCGGTGTTCTCATGTTCAATGACGTACGCAAACCAAGAAATGACTTGGCGGGTGCCGCGCGGGTGCCGCGAGTAAACGTTGTGACCGGTGCCCCTCCCTCCCCCATGGTATTCCACTTGACTCGCAGCCTCGGGTACTGCTGTTGGTGGCTTGCCCCCTCCCCTTGTGGTGTTCCCCCCCTCGTGGATGCCAATAGCTCCATCCCCTCGTGCAGAGTGTAGCGTGACTTTCTGAACCCATCGGTATCTGAGTCCACTTTTGTTTCCTCCGTTCCTTGATGTACCTTTCTTGGGTAAGTTGGCCTGTGACCACGAAAGACCTCCTCGTCAGCCAGACCAGTACAGATGTTACAAGGTACTGAGCGGAGACCGGAATGGTTTTTATTGTGCAGACAGCCACTACGACAATTTCCGCCGATCCTCACCGCCACCCCCGCCGCCGCCTGTCTATCCTCGTGTTTTTCTTTCTGGCCTCGCGCCGCAGAGCCGAATTATCCGGCTGCCGGTGCACGTGCACGATTTCCTCAACCGGGTCCGCAAGGCCACGCTCGAGATGACGGATAAGAACGGAAAGCTTCCCACCGACGATGAGCTTGCCGAGCATCTGGAGGTTTCGGCGGTTAGAATTCAGGTCCGTTTATCATTTTGATTCACTCTGAGGTATAGTCGTAGTCCCGGTTTAACGGCCACTGTTAATAGTGTCACAAAACGTTATATTACTATGGAGGGCATCGCCGCTAGGCCGGATTGGCAGTGATGTATTTTGTTGTTTGGCTACCGAGGTGCAGCAGTGCCACGAAATTGTGGGACCACTATTCAGGGCATCCTGCTTAGCGGGGAACCGCTGACCCGCGACCGCGACTGTGGAGCATGGAAGAAAAGATAGAAAAATATCGAAAGCAGTCCCAGCTGTAGCCCCCCCTGGGTTTTCGTCGCTTGGCAACGACGTTGTAAAACAAGCCCCCCACTCGGTGTTTGCCATCGGGATTGGGTTTTCGTCGCTTGGCAACGACGTTGTAAAAGAAGCCAATTCACTTCGTGAACTCGGCAACCAGGTTACCGTTTTTTTTTTTACCTCGGTTTTTTTTTTTTTTGGCGGTAACCATAATGGTGGTCGAGTAGATCATGTTGTGCGGGGTCGAGAAACCTCACTCCGCGCAACGGGGGATGATCGCACCACGTTGTGTTAAAATGGTCAAGCTTCCTCGAGGCAGTTACACAGTGCTTACAACTGTCTCTGGAAGTGAAAGCACCAGAAAATAAATTAAGTCATACGTAGCTGTCATCCGTACGCAAGGAAGTAAGCACAAGATGCCGAACACCCTTAGCAGGATGCAGCTCACCCTTCATGCGACTCGCCAAATACCTCACGGCGCTTCGCGCTTGGTGATGTGAGAGCCTGGTCCGGTGAGAACCCGGCGTGCTCCGTCCCGGCTTTGTAGGGATGCGAGGTCAATGGTCAAACGACTACGGCATGCACGACTATGAGTACACCCCCCCCCCCCTCCAACTACCAAAACGCCTCCCTCATTCCTTCCCTTCGCAAACCCCGGCCTTGCAGTACTACCGCGACGCCGCTCAGGCGACCCTGAGCATGGAGGCCCCTCGGAACATCGCTTCCAAGACTTCAACCTCCCCTGGCAAGAAGGTGGAAATGGGGCAAGGTGTCTCTGGTCCGGAGAAGACTCCCGACAAGCAGGCGCAGAGCGATGTCATGAAGCAGAAGGTCACGGAGCTGCTGATGACGTTGAGCATCAGGGAGCAAGAGGTGCGTTCACACACGTGTGTGTGTGTGTTTTTTTTTTTTCTCGCATCGACCGCCCTCTAGCTGACGGGCTGATGAAAAGACGTCAGTCCCAGTGCGGTTGAAAAATGGTTCCATAGGTCAGCATGATATATAACTCCGTGAGGGGGCGTCATGCGGGAGGCTATTCTACGGACGGTTAGTTGTTATGGAGGCATTTTCAGATTTGGAATACCGATTTTTACGCCTTTTACGTCCAAATCCAAACGAGGCCACAGGGGTTGTGCGCACTTCGCTAGAAAAGCACACAAACGCGCTTTGGCACTCAGTACTTGCCTCACAGAGACCTGTTGGCATTCAAACCTTCGAGGCCGCACAGTGCGTTTGTTGTGAGCCTCTTGGAGCCGAGTTCGGGGAGCTGGGGTGCGGTGTGTTTCATCATTCTTGTTCAAAAAGGAATATTCCAGTTCGAAAATATTGAACTATTCTGGTTGGAATTAATTCCTCATGAATTCCAAGCTAGAACTGGTTGAAATTCCCAACTTGAAATGGTGAATATGCTTTCATATCCGAGGCAGTCTCGCGCATGATTTCCACTCTAATTTAGCTGCCCAAACTTGCTCCGAGAAGTTCACAGCAGTGGAGTGTACAGCCTTGACGGTTTTGGTAACAAGCAGGCCTCTGTGAGGCGAGGCCATAGTGACGATGTGCCTTGGTGCGCCTGCTTGCTTTCCAGTACGCAGAACTTCCGCTATTTGGGGGTGGTAGGGCATTTTCTGTCGATCCCCCGGATGCCGAATCGGGAGTAATTTCCATAACATGCCTACGGATTACATGCAGAAACGGTAGCGACAGAAGAAGCGCGTGTGTGTTTTGTAGAGGGAAGGGGAAGGCTAAGTGTTGATCGATGCGAACAAAAAGGATGGAGATTTCGCCCA